TGCAATTGCCAGCATATATTTGTCAAACTGATGAAAAATACTGAAACTGTACAGCAGTCTTTCTCCTGGGGTATGTTGAAAATGCTTAACTTGACATATGACTGAAACAGTGACTTTCTTTTTGCTTTGCTATTTATAATGCTGCAATTAAACCAACACATTAGTGTAGGTCTTCCCTCATTTTTAGTGGACAAATTGATTGAAACTTTCTGTATGTGCTCATCTTTCCTATAACAAGGCTTAATTAAAACTTAAAAAAAACCCCAAACTTGCATCCACTTATTCAAAGTATTAACTAATATATTTATATGAGATGCCAGTTTGATTCAAATCTTACTCCTGGTTGAGGCATAAAATGATGCAAAGTGACAACAGCCTGCCTTCAGGATAATTTATTATAAACACATTTCTCAAGTCTGTGTGTTTAATATATAAATATTCCCTAAACTGTAGTATCCATTAAAACTAGGCTTTCACCTCCCAGTCCTGCAATCCAATTTTATCAGAAATTCCCCCACTATGAAACTCTTTATGAGCTCAACAGGCCTGATCCCTCTCACTTGTTTTATTTCTAAACTATAAATATTGTTTTTTCACTCCTCAGTGTGGCAATTTGGCTACATTCATTTTACATGCTTACTGGAGTAGAAAACTGCCTAATCAGATAGGAAAACAGTTGGCGGTGTATAAATCAGGGTTTGCCGAGGATTTCAAAGTGTGAAACTGGCAGACAAGCACATATCCTAGGAGTTCTCCCTTTCCCTAGCTTCCCTGTAGAGATTTCACATGGCAAATTTGATCACCAGGGCCATCTGTATAAATACATGAGTGTGTTGTCCTGAATTAACACAGCAGCTCTACTGGGGAATGTAATTAAGGTCTTATTTTTAAATTTCACCACTAGACTGTCTGAAATACAGATTTATATATAAGAATAAAAATCTTACCTTAATTTTGATGAGGAAATTGATAGTTATATGTGTTTTACTACCAACTAGTCTAACAGAAACTCCAAAGTTCAGAATGCTCCTTAGTGATGCTCCCGCTATGAATTTACATTCTGTCCTGTCCTGTAGATCAGTAACACTATGATATTGAAAGTAATGTTGTATTACAGCTTTTCTTAAAGAAAAAAACCCCCAAACTTCTTACAAGCAAATAGTTTTACTGTAACATTGCCTGTTCCACTCAGTTGACATTCCTTCCTAACGTTCATGTTGAAACAGAGTTAAGTAAAGATTCATGTTCTAGTGGTGACAGGAGGAGTTGTTACACAAGATGTAAAGTTTCCCTTGGATTTCATGTCACGATTTTTTTTCATTATTTAAACAAAAACTACATTGAAGTGGTGCAGGTACTAGGCAATAAAGATTTCCCTTGGTGCTGACAAACTCTGAGACCACAAACGGAGGTGCTTACATGCTGCGGGAGATATTGCATAATGTTCTTTTCCTTTAGGCTAGGGATTGCTGTCACAGAGGAAACATCTTTATATAAGAAGTCCTGTTACAGAAAAAACCCATTTAGTTCTCATATATATGAAAATTTCACTTCCAGCATGTTTTATTTGCTAATATAAGGCAACCATTCCTAAACATGTAGCTTTTAGCCTGCCTTGTTTATTAAATGACCCTTGGAATTGCTTCAAGTGTTGTCAGTAATTCTGCTTTACTATTTAGCAACACCCAAGTACAAGAATGGAGGGAATTTGTTGTTTAAAAAAAACCAAACCAAACCATGTTTTGTGGACAGATCTGCTTTTGTAAGTGGTATACATAAGATACTTACACATCTGATTTTTAAGTAGTTTATCGAGTCCATTTGTAAGGATCTTGGCAGGTGAAAAATATTTTTGTGGTTATGGAATGTTAAAAAATAAATAAAGCAAACAGGAAAAGAGTTTTGCTGGAATGCTGCAGTTCATCTGTGGGTCACTGGCATCGGAGTTGAGGTGCACATGATGTGTTAATTGAGAGAGGAAAAATTGGAGACAGGAATTGATTTAGAACAGTAGATGCCTGTATGGGGGAAACAAACACAAACCTAACACCCGCCCCACTCCCCAGCCATTGGCCAAATACAGATAAGGTCATTGGACAACAGTTAGGGTATTTCAACTTTTAGGGGATTGGTAACTATTTTTCTGTATTCCTAAAATTACTGCAGGATGATGATATAAAGAACAAGAATATTTTATATTTACAAGCAGGTCCTTTTTCCTTGCAATAGTATAAAATAAGGCTTGAAGTACACTCAATAGGGATATTGAATAATGACATTTCTACTGTCTTTTTTTTAATCATGAACTATTTTCCAGTAAAACGATCTGAAACAAATCTCTTCCTACCACATACACAAATTATAGTAGCAGAAGGTGTTTTCTTTTTTTCAATGAACATCTGAAAAGCTGAAAATATATTACTGTCTTGAATGACTGAGACCTAGTGGTGTATATGCTTTAGTGACTGGTTGCAACTACAGTGCAAACCTGGTTACTGCTACAGTGAACATTTACAAGCTCCTTTGAAATTGCATTTCTCCAAGGAAAATGTCTGGACAAAATGAAGGCACAGAAACAAGGGTGAACTAAAGATGGGTAGGTGGAGTACCTGCCTTTCTCTTCTCTGTTGTCTGTTAGGCATTCTTTTGAACATGGGCTGTAGTTACACCACTTTACTTTTTGTTACAAGTCAATTCATATAAACTACATTCTTTTCACTGTTATGCCAGTAAGATCCTGTCAGCCTAATGTGGCAGGGTCAGAATTATGTCTGGCAAAAAATGTCTTACAATCCTAGCCTTGACAGTTTACTTTGGTGAAAGATCTACTTGTAGGAGTTTTGCCCCTGGTAAATTGGCAAAAATTTCAACAAAATTCAACAAAGAAATTATGTTATTTGCCATGCAGTGCTGCAGGAGACTTCAAAATTCAGCTTTCAGAGGCGCTATGTTTCTGTTTATTGGGATGATACAAGGCTATGTTCATAAAGCATACATTTATAAAATATTTATAAAAATTTTGGCACTGAAAATTTTCCACTGACAACAGTTTCTTCTGTTTTAGAAATGTGGTAAATATACAGAGGTAAACTTAATAATAGCAAAGGAAGTTTCTAGCAATAGCACCCTGTACCTTTCTGAATATCTGGTGAAAAAATATTTTTGATGCCTTTTAGCCAAAGTGTTGATTTATGGATTGCTAATTTCAGCATGCTGGATTTTTGCTTGGTCAGGCTGATCGTTCTGTACCCCCTCTGACCTTAAAAATCGTACAGTTGTATTAGTTATCTCAGATGATATTTCTATCAGCATGTGGCTAGTATATCTTTGGAATGAAGGTAACCTTGGAGTAATAATGAATGCAAGTAGGCTCAGGTATTAATTGTTAATGATGATGCAGAGAAGATATTTCAGTAGATTTGTAAATGTCGTCACCCAAAGAAAGACTATGTAATGGGCTGGGACCATTTTAAAGGATGAGAGAGATTTCATTTTTCAAAGAAAGTATTTTCTCTAGGATTAGTAAGAAGTATTTATTTAAAATTTTACACAAGTTTCTGAGGTCCTTAGGGAGCCCCGAGACACAATAGCATACCGGTGTATTATATGGACTTTCAAAAGGATGAATTTTACTTTTAAAATATGAATTTAATTAGCTGGATATTGAAGAATAGAAGGCATTCATTATGAGGGCATTTTATTATAATTCACGTGTAGGCTAAAAGTGAAGGCTGCTATTCCTTAGTGATTCCCTGCTCTTCTAGCACAGATTTCATTTATTTTCAAAAAAATTGTTAAAATAGTGAGCTCAAAATGTATTGAAACCAAGTGGATCATTTAGGTATGGTCTAATAGATAAATCACTGCTTTCTCAGGTGCTGGGCTACAGTTCAAGCCAAGACATTTGACTCAGATTAAATTAATTTAGTGGTTACATCTCACATAGCTCAAAACAGTGGGATTTTTTCCTTGAGAGGGGCGGGAAATGGAGCTAGCATGCATGATGAATCGTTTCTTACCTTGAGGTGGTCTTTTCAGGCTTAAACTTATTTTAAGGGAGAACTGACAAAAACAAATGGTTCTACTTATGTTGTCCTTGGCTTTTGAATTAAACAAAACAAACTTTTCCCAGTTATCTGCTTTTCTAGTCAACTGTGTGCAGGATTTTGAGACAGATGCTCCAAATGATACAGTTCTCTCTATCTGAAGAATTTTCTCGTTTCTACACTCCTTTAAATGCAGAAATGCTCTACTTAACCTATTAGTTAAATAGTAGTTCTTTTACCTGTTATTAAAGACAAAAATGGACAAAAGGTATTTATTTCTTTTATTGTGATATTTGTCTGATTTATAAAACTTTAAATACATCTGAAGAATGTAATTTATGTATTTTTTGAGTCCAGGTTTACTTCAACTTGTATGTGTGAAATAAGGAACTGATACAGTTAAGCTAATTTAGAAAAACAAAACAAAATTAGTTTTAACTTGCATCAGATCTGTAAACAGGGTTGTTGTGTTTAATACATTTGTGCCAGGGTAAAAGAAGGGTATTGACAGAAGGAACACCAGTCAAAGGTGAATTACTCCTACTGAAGAAGGTAGGAGTAATTGCTTCTGCTTCAGTGTCAGCCATTTGCTATTGTAAAGTGTTCCAATAACTGAGATCTTAGAATTACACTGGATCCCAATGAATATGGGTAAAAGATGAGAGTGAAATAATCTGTATGGAATCATGAACTGATAATACAAATAAGAAGAAAATGTGCTTCTGGATCAAAAAAAGAAATTTAATGTTTAACTTGAATTTTACTGAAGTTCACTTGTTAAATGAAAATTCTTATAACAGTGATAGTGAAATGGTTCAGGCAAAAAAAAGTGCATTCTTGTCTTTTTATGCAATTCTTAAAATAAACAACCTCTTCATGCATTTCCTGCCTCTCTTTTCTCTTCTTGATTTTATACAGTATTTTCAAATTTATTGAAACGTTACTTTTTTTAAGGTTATCACCAACCTTGGGCCTCTGGAGTGGATTCTTAATACTCCCAGTCATCACAGAGTTCATCATGGTAATCTAAAAGTGTAACATCTTATTCCTCAGTGTGTTTTTTCTCATGGTCACTATTTGTATGATGATGATGATGATAATAATAATAAAGTACTGAAATTGTACTGTAAAATTATTTTCAAAGAAGGATTTTGGTTTTGGTCATAGCTTCAAAGATAGTCCTTGTTCAGTTAGAAATTTCATAGCATTTAAAAAAATTATAACTTAAATTTAAAATTTTTACATTTATGTTTAATTATTGAGCAGAAATTAAGCTTGGATAATGTGAAATAATTTGAAAACTTTGAGCACAAGAATTCAACATTTGTAAATATGAAGAGTGATAGAAAAATATCTCATCCTTCCCTCACTCTTAAACATCATCAACCTGTTAGTCACTAACAGATGCTTTCACATTCAAATTCAAGCAATGAATCTGCTAAAAGACATGGTTACCTTTTAGAAAAGAACTGTTAAATGTTTTAGTGGAATTTGGTTTCAGCTCTCTGAATAACTGAAAAATCTCACTTCACAGAAGTGCATGATGATTGACTTTTCATCACTATTCAGAGGCATTCAAGACCGTACTGCATATGTAAATTGGATTAATAACTCCACTGCATACTGAAAAATGTCATGAACGTATCTGAGGAATAGAAGTGTATTTCACAGATGCCCTTGGCTTATTCAGTGTGCAGAGAAAACAAGTAACAAAGTAATAGGGGAATGGAAGAACAAAATAATTTGAAACAGACTCAAATGTAGTTATATGTTCAGAGGATGTTATTAATATTTATTATATCCTCCATGTCTAAAGTGTTTATGGCACTTTGTAGACTTTTTAAAAAGACTACACAGTCTTTTTAAAGTAGTGCTGTAAGTGTCTAATCCTTAAAATTTGCTCAAGTACTGGTAATCCTGGAGGGAGACACTTTGCTCTTATTTGTTCTGCTGTAAATCCAAACTAATCCTCTGACCGTGATTGTAGTTAGGCAGAATCACTTCAGAGCTGATCAAGTGTTGTACAGTCTCTCCAGACAATCTCTGCAAGATTGAGGATCTATAATCAATGTTACTTTGGTCATACTTTGAATAGGACAGCTTATATACAAATACATTCCCTAGAAAACATAAGGATCAGTTTTCATCACACTGAAGTTAATAATGAAGGCAGGATGAGACATGGCATAGCAGATAGAGACAGCTGAAAGCCATTAATGAGATGATTGTGCATAAATGTATTTAGCATATATATCTTAGTTATAAACTGGTGAAATTATTTTTATTTTTGCTTTTAAATTTGTCGTTATAAAAATATTTTGAAATGAGTTTAGTCTCTGAATGAATTCTTTTATTTCACAGAAATGTTGAGTATGACACATTTGATTTGAATCATAAAATCACAAAATGGTTTGGGTTGGAAGGGACCTTAAAGACCATCTAGTTCCAACCCCCCTGCCATGGGCAGGGACACCTTCCACTAGGCCAGGTTGCTCAAAGCCACATCCAGCCTGGCCTTGAAGACATCCAGGGATGGGGCATCCACAGCTTCTCTGGGCAACCTGTTCCAGTGCCTCACCACCCTCTCTGTGAAGAATTTCTTCCTAATGTCTAACCCTCCCTGTTTTCGATTTGTACCCGTTACCCCTTGTCCTGTCACTACAGGCTCTTGTAAAAAGTCCTCTCCCAACACCCTTGTAGGCCCCTTCAGGTACTGAAAAGATGCATTAAGGTGTCCCTGAAGCCTTCTCTTCTCCAGGTTGAACAACGCAATTCTTTCAGCCTTTTTTCACAGGAGAGGTGCTGAGGAGGTATATTTGAATCTGAGTAGGAAGAGAGCAATCAGCCTAGTAAAATGGAAAAAAATTTATAGACAAAAGGAGTGGTGTGTTAGATCCTTTTAAAAATTATTTTTAGATGATAAATTGGTACCAATGATGAACATTTACCTTCATAATTCAAATGCATGTATTCTTACAAATGCAATTACTGGTCTGATAAATTATTTCTGTTATAGGTAGAAATCCTTACTGCATTGACAAAAATTATGGTGGCACACTCATTATCTGGGACAGGATATTTGGTAAGTAAAAAAAAGGTGCTCTCTGTCATGTTTAGTTAGTGTGTCAAAATGTTGTAAACTTTTGAATTTGATTGTTGTTTTTTCTTTTTTTTTTTTTTTTTCTTCTTCCATCAGGAACATTTGAGGCAGAAAATGAAAAAGTTGTATATGGCTTAACACATCCAGTAAATTCATTTGATCCCATCATGCTCCAGGTGCTATAATTTGTATCACTGATTCTGGTATCTTCAGCAGGCACTTGTGTTCAAAAGAAACTCCTCTTAAGAAAAGTGGAAGCCATCCTTGCATTACTGCACAGGCAATTAAATTATCTAAAATACCTTCAGTATTTCATGAATTACAAAACAATTATTTCTACTCACTGCATTGAGCATATGCAAAGCTTATAGTCATCATGAAAATACAATACAGTAAAATAACAACTATTTACAATGGAAATATAACAGGTCTTGGACTGAATGATGTCCATTATGCCAAATGGAGAGCAGTATGCAGCAAAGCACAGACAAAATTACTTCATAAATAACCGCATGGTGTAATATCATTACTTTTTTATGTCTTCTGCGTATTTGCTGTTCAGGGTGCTCCAAAGTGATTTATGTTGACAGTATTATATAGCAACCATCAGGGTCTCAGCAAAACCTCCGTAACAGGTTGAATATTGTATTAAAAAAATAAAAAAAGAAGAAAATGTACTTGGTGTGGTGCTTCTTAGATTTACTGCCCAAGCCTCACTTAAGCTGGGTAAAAAGGCTTTGTAAAAACCTCAGGGACTGAGGAGTGTTGAAGTACTCATTTGCTTTTCACGACTGTTCACCCAAGGAGGCATCTCAAAGTGTAAGAAATTTTACCTGCAGGGCTATCTGGGCTGTAAGCCGGAAGGATGGCCGCAGCCTGTACAATTTTATCCATTCCAGTCAGAAACTAAGTAATGTAGTTATTGAGAGTGTGTCATGTCAAAGTCCCAGTAACCAATTATAATTTAAAATTACCATAAATACAGCTATACAATATACTGTTAAATACTCGATTGATTACAGGAAGGACAGATTTTCCTCTGTGCAGAAGTCATTGTAATTCTCACTGTAAACCAAAGGCTTGATATGGCTCCTGCCTGTTTCAGTCAGGTTTTCTGAACTTCTGACTGTCTTCATCTATTCCTAATTTATTCTCTTTAGACTTTGAAAAATAATTTACTTAAAAGCTAAAAATGAATAAAATGTGTTTTATTAAATTTTATATTACTAGCAATGAAAAATTACATGCTCTTTTTTCAGTTACGTCCCTTGGCTCATATTTGGAACACATTTTGGGCCACACCTGGATTCTGCAACAAGCTTTCTGTCATATTCAAAGGGCCAGGCTGGGGACCAGGCAAACCTAGACTTGGCCTTCCTGAGGAAATCCCAGTGGTAAATAGAACATGCACAGGCTTTCAGTTTTGTGTAATTTACTTGGACCTCTTAATGCTACAGGATCAATGTTAAAAACTCTACACATGCTATTTTAAATTAGCAAATTAGCAGTCATAAAGCATTGAGGAAGATGAAATGGGTACAGAAACTGAAGGAAATGAATGATTTAGCTGTGTTTATTCTTTTGATTTGAAAGGAAAAAAATATTTATCTTTTCATTATTCATTTCCTAAAGAGATTTTCAAAATTGTTCTATAGAGTATAGTAATTTATCTTTTTCTTTTAGCTGAGTGCATGTGCACACACACACAGAGGTAAACTCTATCTCACACTAGGTATTACATAAGTTTGATAGTGCAATTATCTATGTCCCTTAATCGTTTTTGTGTTCGTAAATATAAAGAATACCAAGGCATAACAGGCTGGAGCAGGTCACTGTTGAAGGCTGTTATCTGTTTTGCTTCATACAGATCACTGGAAAAGAAGTTCCCTTCAATCCTAGTGTACCAGCTCATCTTAATTGCTATGTGGTTGTACATTTTGCTGTAATAATGGACTTGTATACTGAACTTCTTGGTACTGTGACTGTAAGTAATTCCTGTTTTTATGAAATAACATCTTATGCTATCAGTAATATGACACACAGCATATTTAAACAATAAAGCACTGAATAGTGGCTCTACAGACTGACTCATATCTAACTTAAGGTAGTATAATAATAACTAGATTCTGTAAAAATAATCAAAATAAATGGCTAAGTATATAATTATATAAAATACATGTTTGCCATTGTTTATTAATATTTAATAACCATATTGATTAAGTTAAGCAATTATAAATAACAAATGTTCCATTGAAGATGTATGTGTCTGCTTCAGTTTTTAGGACCTCATGAAAGCAAAAATGTATCTCAGACTTGAAAGTATGTAGGTTTTAACATGTCAAGGTTGGTCATATTGTCAGATGCTCAAGATTTAGAAGGAAGTCTTTTGCAAAAATCTTGCAGTGCTTGCAGCTGGGAAGCTTGGTGTCAGAATGAGAGCAGAGTTAGAAGAGCACTGGCTCAGGGCAAATTCTTCTTCCAGTGCTGAACATACAACAGCATTGACAGAAACACAGCAAGGAAAGTCGTATATTTACCACCTCGAGTTTGGGACGACAGGATCGCTCTGGTAGCATGATGTCATTCCTCCATGGATACCTGGTGGTTCTCTGAAGGTGAACTATGAGGCCATCTCTGCTTGCAAGAAGTGAGACATAAACTGCTTCCATGGTTTCACATCCTGCATAACTTCCAACCTCCTTTTCATTCTTTCCTTCTTGAGGGCTCCTTCTGCTTTACTAAAGGTAAAATCTTCTAGTTAATGGAGGACTGTGGACCTGCCTTGTCCTGGCACACTTGTCCAGCAATCACCAGCCCTTGTTTGGTAGTGGTTACTGTCCCCTGTCCACCTCAGTGTGTGCTGTGAGAGAGCAGTCTTCCCACACAGGCCATGTACCTACCCCTTCACCTGCCACTGACCCAACCCCACCTTCTCCGGGGACCAGCCCCTCTCGCTGTGCCCTCATACTTTTGCCCATGTCTGAATCCAGGAAAGAAACAGATTTCTAGAAATAAGCCTCTTGCATATCTGACTGTGGTCATCCATTTCCAGATTCCAGAGCATTGCAAAGCCATTTCAAGCTGTCACAAATCTTGTTCAAACATTGACATTTTGATCTTCCAACTAAGATATTCCTCTTGCATCCCAGAGCAAGAAGGGCAGGAGAGAAACTTTGATAGTTTCTTGGCATATGCGGCAGCAGGCTTGTAGGAACTCTGGCAGCTCTGCATGTATGAGCTGCTACAGCTCTTTTTTTCAGTTTTTGGTTAGATGTGTTCTGAGTAGCACATCAGACAAGAAGAACAATGCAATTTTTGAAAAAAATTAAACATTAAGTATTTTGTGCAGTATTCCCAATATAATATAGAAGCTACCTGAGGCATAGTCTTCTCATTAGTATTAAGTTATTGTACACATTGTGCTCACCTCTGTAAAGGGTCACATTGCAACTGCAGGGAATTCAGATTACTAAGCCATCTGAGGCTTTAGTCTATCCTAAGAAATTTCTGAGGAGAGGAAATTAAGTCAAAGGTAAGGATAAATACATCCAATGTATACAAGATATACAGTATACAGGATTGCCAGTGTTCTTATATTGTGAAAAGCCTCTGCAAAACTTTCTGGATATGATTCTATATTCCTACATACCAGCAGCAAGTCGTATTTATATAGGGATCAAACTGTGGGGTTTTTTATTTGGTTGGAGTTTTTATCTTTCACTGTGTTGCTGTTGATGTTAGCAGCAAGAAGTAAGAGGCCTGCTCATGATTTTTTTTCCTATTTTATTCTTTTCTCTTTTTGCCTTTTCCTGGTCCTGGAAGGAAAAATGGATGGTCCAAATTATTTTCTCTGCTGATAATTGCAGCTGTTACAGAATAAGTATTAAAGGAAGTTAAAAAATGCACCCTAGCCCCAGATGATTGTTAAATTCTTGCAGTTGTGGAGGAAACATTCTGAAGATCCAGGATCTGGATTTTTTTTTGTTTTGTGTGTGTGTTTTTTTTTTGTTTTTTTTTTTTTAAGAAAAACAACTAGAAAATTCTCTGCAGAAAACTGTAGGGTAATTAGGTAGTAAGGATAAGGAGAGCATGGGGGACTAGAAGTACTTAATCTCAGGACATAAACCTTCAGCGTGGGTGTGGAAAGTGCTGGTCTCAAGGCAGAGTTCCAGCATTGCTCTGCAGTACAGTGGGGAAGCTGTCATGAGAAGGAAGACTCTGTATGAATAACTTTACTTGGCAAACATCTTCCTTCAATATCAGTTTTCCACTATACTGAGTTATGAAATGTCTATGGATACAACTGGAACTTTCTGTCTGGCTATGAATTATGTCATAATTGTGGCATAGCTCCATAAATGGAGAAAGCTAACTGTTTTCCTCATTTTTAGGTATAAGTTCCATTTCATAATAGCCATAAGACACAGCACACAGCTATTGCATTTCTCAAGTGATTACAGTTGCTTAGTGTTTGGTCTCACACCCTGCAGAAGTGTTAAATTTCTCTATACGTAAAGAGCAATCATATACCTTCAGTCTGAATGACCTACATTTAACATGTGAGAAGAGTAAAAAAAGAAAGAACAAATACATATTTTCCAGAGGAGAGACTATACAGTGTTTATTTTCTATATGGCAATCTGCACTACATCCAGAGAATAAAAATGACTTTTGAGCTCTGCACATCTAGATCTGATCCAAACCTCATTGAAGAAATGGGATTTGGATCAGTCCCAGAGAGAGTGCTAGGAGTGTAAAGCAGCAGTACACTGAAAGCAAAAGTCTCATAGCTCCAGCACTGCATGGATCACATAAATCAAAGTGAAGTGTACCTTAAACTCGTTTTGCAGTGTCTTTTTTATTGTTGATAGATGCTGTAACATTTACTGTGCTTATAATGCTATGAATATGCGAGCAGCTTCAGTTAGATGAAAAGTATTAAGACATAAGATAGATCTCTTGAAAGCTGAGAACACAATTAATACATCCATTCAGTAGGACATAACCAAGTTCTGTATATGGAATATTGTTAAGAATTGACACTTTTTTTAGGAATTTTAAGTTAAAATATATTTATACTGACAAAGACACCTAACAATACAGATTTCATAGCATTGTAGTAGCATTCTTCATTTGAATGTTGCAAGTGTCTGGTATATGACAGCAGGGCATCTGTTAAATTATGAAATGTGGTGACATTGTTCCTAGCTGTTCTGAGAAACGCTGAATACACCAGGATGAGGAAATGAGTCCATGTTATTCTGCAAAAGGAATAAAACAATCTGAGTTCTTTGAAATATAAAAGTCAATTAGAAATCTTTCAATTTTCTTCTAAATACACATTTGGAATGGCATACTTCCTTTGTTTAAATGATTATTTTTTCATTACTGACAAAATATAAAATAATGCTCTGTCAATCTGTTGATTACAAAGCCATATAAACATCTTCACAACATTCTAAAACCTGCCTTTTTTTTAAGGCTCCAAGATATTTTTAAAAATAAAAATCCAAAAGAAATATTTTTTTTCTGTTTGATTGCAGCCAATAACCACATTGCAAATTGCAGCTGACTTGTAATTGGGGAACCTGCTGTGGTCTCACAGGCTTCTCTGTTTATACAAATACTTCAGTATATACATACTGATTTATTTTATATGTACATCCATGCATATTATGCTGAAGTGGAACAAGGATGCTAGCACTAATGAAGGTGTAAAAGGCACATTTTTTTCACACTGCAACTTGCAGTGTGTAGACTTAATAGATGATGTTTAGCTTAATGATATAAACCACTGACTATTCTGTTGATTTTGGTAGAGAAATGCCTAGAAAATGGATGCCTCAGCTGCCAGCATCCACTTCACAGAGTGATACATGTTTGAAGGTAAATAAAAGAGTCAAGGCAGCATGTAACTATACCTTGGAAGCTGTAAAGAAGTAGTTATGGAAGCAAACTAAAAATGCAAAAATTTATGTTGCATGTCTGGTTTTCTAAAAGCTGTTATTCCCATATGTCATTGGGGTGTATTTCACTCCAAATTTCTTGGTAGTCCTTGACTAGCAGCACAAATGAGGGAAAACTTTTTTTCCTGTATGTGAATGTGGTGCATGTATCTACAGAGAAGGCTAACTTGCACCTTCTACCTTCATGGGTCCCAGTAAGGCTTTATGCCTCACCATTCATCACTCTGGAAAGCTCAGGACTTGGGAAGTGGAAGGCTTCAACACTGTCCTCAGACATTACTGTGCATTTATCTAGGTCTATGATAGTGCCAGTTTGCAAATAGCTGAGATCATAGAATCTTTTAGGTTGGAAAAGACCTTCAAGATCAAGTCCAACTGTTAACCCAACAATGCCAATACCACCCTAAACCATGTCCTCAGGCACCTTGTCCACATGTCTCTTAAATGCCTCCAGGGATGGTGACCCAACCACTTGCCCAGGCAGCCTGTTCCAATGCCTGATAACCCTTTTGGTGATGAATGTTTTTCTAATATCCAATCTAAAACTTGCCTGGCACAACTAGAGGCCATTTTCTTTTGTCTTATCACTTGTCATTTGGGAGAAGAGACTAACAACCACCTCTCTGCAACCTCCTTTCAGGTTGTTGAAGTGAGCGACGAGGTGTCTGTGACCACCCTCCTCTCCAGGCCAAACAACTCCAGCTCCCTCAGCTGCTTCTCACAGGACTTGTGCTTCAGGCCCTTCCCCAGCTCTGTTGCCCTCCTCTGGAGACTCTCCAGCACATCAGTGTCTTTCTTGTAGCGAGGGGCTCAAAATGAACATGGTATCCGAGGTGTGGCCTCACCAGTGCCAAGTACAGGGGTACAATCACTTCCCTAGTTCTGCTGGCCACACTGTTCCTGATGCAGACCAAGATGTCATTGGCCTTCCTGGCCACCTGGGCACACTGCTGACTCTTACTCAGCCAGCTGTTGACCAAAACCCCAGGTCCTTTTCTGCCAGGAAGCTTTGCAGCTACTTGTCCCCAAACCTGCAGTGTTGCAAAGGGTTGATGTGTCCCAAGTGCAGGACTCAGCTCTTGACCTTATTGATCCTCATATGTTTAGCCTTGGCCTATTGGTCCAGGCTGTCCAGATCCCTCTGAAGAGCCTTCCTACCCTCAGTGAGATCAACATTTCCACCTAACTTGATGTCATCTGCAGATTTATTGAGGGTGCACTTGATCTCCTTATCCCCATTGTTTATAAAGATATTAAACAGAAATGCCCCTAGTACTGAGCCCTGGGGAACACCATTTGTGACTGGCCACCACCTAGATTTAATTGCATTCACTACAGCTCTTTGGGACAGCCGTCCAGAGAGTTTTTTACCCAGCGAAGAGTATGCCCGGGTAAAGAGATCCGTACATTCTGGGCCACAGATGATGTTGGACCATAAGAAGTTTTACAAACAACTAGTGTTCAGGATGTTATGGTTCATGTAGGAGTGTCTGGAAAGAAATGGAAATTGGCCTGAAAAACAGAATCTGTGAAATGTGATCATACCTAGCTCAGGTAGTCAGTACAGGAAGAACTGCATTTAGCATTTTAAACATTTAAAGCTTAAGGGCTTGTTTATATTTGGGTTTATTTTCCTTAAATTATAAGGTTGCTTCAATTCTTTCTTCTGATTTACTAACATAAATTAAAATGTGGTTTTATTTTTTTTTTAAATCATGTTAAAATTGAACTGCAATTTATTAATTTTCTTTCAAGTTCTTCAGTTGTGCTCTTTTCTTCTGTGATTAGATAAATAGGTAAAATGGTAACTCCAGCTCCAATTTTGCACATTTTAGAAAAAATGTTCAACAGAAGTTTGCAGGGTCACACTCCAAATCCTTCTATTCCATCCTTTCTTTTTTTTGTGTAGAGAAAGCTGCAGTCTGAATTACAATATTACAGTGTCTCTAATATCAAGCTTACCATTATTTCAAGGTCCATCAACAACAATATAAAAGGACAATAAAATTTTTTCCTGAAAATACGTTAACTTCAAGAGAGTAATTTTAGATATTTTCCTACTCGTCTAGAAATGGCAAATAAAATATATCTTTAAACAAAGAAAAATATTAATAGAAATTACGAGAGAAAACACCACTAAAAATATGACCTAAAAATGTTTGTTTTCGAGAAGTGTTTCCATCAACCACTCAAATCTAACTCTTAGTTTAAGGACCAAATTCAGCCTCCAGACCTGCTCTCTAGCTAAAGGCAAGAAATAGAATCACTCAGAAAGTACTGTGTCTCCACTGATTACAGAGAAAGCTTAGGTTAATAACAGGTTTTTAGGCACTTCAGTAAAGGTGCTTAGAGGAAGGTAAAATGAATCAGTACCTCAGTTTTCTGAAACTGGAATAAAAAAGAAACCACGTTGCCTAGGTTCTCTAATGCTAGGCAGCTCAGAAACACTGGGAAGACAGAAAAGGATGAAACCATGCAGATCTTTTAAACTGAATATTGAAAGCACCATTATTTATTCATAGCAGGTACTGCTGGATCATTCCTGTAGAAAAATAGTAACATTTGTTCTCTCAAAACCATTGCAGGTTCATTCATTATCCATAAAGTGTGATTTAGACATATACTGTAATGTAGCAATTACATGACTTGCTTAAATTTGGATTTGCTGATTGATTCTCTTTCCTGCCTAAGTGGGATACGAAACCTTATGTTCTTTTTCTCAGAATAGTGTCGTACCACTGTGGGAACATTTTTAAGGCAGTCTGTAGAAGCTAGTGCATTTCACTGGAAACAAAAATCAAAATCAAACCTACCTGACCAGAAGGTCTAGACTTAAAAAAAGGTGTAATTCTCCAACTTTAAAGTGAAGACATTCTCTATGGAAGAAGGTCTTGAATTACAGTCCAAGTTCCCTGGCAATCCCCTTTATCTGACAAGTAACAATCACTGAAAAACATATTAAAGCATTTCTAAGAAATTTATGTGCGAGTTCCCTTATACCTGAACCAAAAACGTTATTTGGTCACTTCTTGAATTTTTGTATGACCCAGTTTCTCCAGGAAGCTGAAATGGGAGTTGGACTTATTGTGACTAGATGATCAGTACAAAAAGTAGTCATTTTATTAAACTTAAGCAGAGTCTGTGCCTGTTTTTATAGAAAAACTCTGTCCAAAAATTTTGTCACTTCAAAATAAATCTCTTTATGTTAACAATTGAAAGTCTTTAAATTTAGGATAGCTGTAGGATTTTTGGATTCTAGAAATTGAAGTGTTCAAGAGGAGCACCTTCAGTTTAATCTCTTACTGACAAATTCAAAAATTTGCATCTGGAATTTTCCAGTGTATTCTGAGAGACACAAACCTTGATAAAGGATTATAAAACCATTAGACCTTTTTTTTTGTTATCTTGAGTTAAGTGAGAGTCTCAACGCATAACTCCTATACTGAGTCCCCCCAGGATTAAGAAGAGTGTAAGAAAGCACAAGAAAAGTGTAAAGAATATCCTTTCTCAAGAGTAAATATATATATATAGATGATGGTGGTACTCAGCAGTCTGAAGTTTTGTAAGTTTATCATAAGGAGGAATGGAACAGATTGGAAATGTAGCAATGCAGTAATGATTTTGATCTATTCTTGTATAAATCTGTGCAACAGAGTGGCTTGACAGGTGTCATTTGTGAGAAGTGTTTTGTGGCTTGTAAAGTGGTGAGGCTGCTGTTTAGCTCACTCATTGCTGGGATTGTGTTTTCTTTGTTCAGTAACTGTTTGTTAAGGATATCTAAGTAGGTGCTTGTGATTCTTCAGTAAAACAACAGAAACCTACCCAGCCTGAGTGTGTGGTTTGATGTGTTTTCCAAACATGGGCACTGTAAGTTCACACAGCTGTAAAACTTGAGAATATCCTCCTGTGGCCTCCCACACTTGCAGATACTTACCCTAGATCTCTTTGAGGGGTAGGGGCCACCACTGAAGGAAAGTGGGCATGTCACTGAGTGGGACTGAAATCAGGGCAGACATTCATGGATTTTTATTTTTCCAGTACCTGCAGTCTTGAAGTCCAAGATGCTGTTCATAAACCTTACTGCTATTGAAGCCAGAAAGGATTCCTTTAACTCAGCAAGATCCACTAGTTTTGTTTTGCGTTTTTTGTTGGTTTTTAATGAAAAAACAAAGGCTTTTCAAAACTAATATTTGAAAGGAAGTCAGGGAGGGAACAAGAAAACTGATTAAATATTTTATTTTTAAAGGCAGCTGTGTAGAATACAAAAAATATTAAATAAATTAAAAGAAAAATTTCAAACGTCATAATGAAAATAATTTCTGTTTTCCTGAGTTTTGTTCATATCATTTTGATGTAAATTTTAAGGTTGTAAATCCTCATGCTGCTATTCATTCAAGTACTAACACACATGTGAATGCTTAAAAGTGTTTTAAAACTGATTGAAGTTAATGGTACGAGTTGAACAGTTTTCCTGAATTGAGAACCAAGTGTCGAGTTGTCACAAAGGGACATAATTAATTGTTTCTTCTTAAATATGTTTATATTTTTAAGTCATGTGAATTCTTAATCTCACCATTGCATTGGTTTTGGTATCCAGTGAGATTCATGGATGATAATGGTAAAGACCTGATAACATAAGATGAAGGAAAAGAATAGGGCTGCTGGGATTTTTATCTGGAAATAAATTTTTTCCCTCTGGGAACAAAGGCATAAGGAAATCAAGTAACTTCAGTAAAAACACACAATGTAGAATGGAATACCTTAAACATCATTTTGGAAATAGAGCATTCAGGAAAAAACTATAAAGGTGATTACTCCAGAGCAGTGTGCTATCCAGAGCACAAAATTTTATTGTAAAATTTAAAGTAACAATTTTCCTTAAAAGCAGACACTAATATTACTGAGTGAGGAAGTTGAAGCTCCTGTTCTATTAAAACTCAATTTCTAGTCAGAAAATTACTCTAAATTTATTATTTGTCTACTTTTTAACAGATGTTATCACAGGGAACAATTCTCCTGAGAATTGGCTTTATCATTCTGTCCCTGACATCTTTTGGACTACTTATGGAGAACAGGCAAGAAACAAAATGTGCTTTTTTATTGTTTTCTTCTCTCATTATGTATTATTTATCATTATATGGAAAGCTCGTGTGTCAGAAATTATATTTATAGAGAAATACAGATACATTCTGACACATGTTGCTGTCTGTTGACTAGAAAATAACACATGAAGAGCCAGTACCTAAACCCAAGGGTGTTCCCATAGCAATTAGTGGCTATATCTATATTGTCTCTTACAGAAAAGTCAGGGGATGGGCTACTCAAGTCACCCTCTGTGCTTGCATTTGTTGGGTTCACATCTCTGGTATTGGGACACTGGCAGATGAGATCTGCAGGCTGTCCCAGGGCTGTTCAAGCTCAGACTGCAATCATATTGTGTCAGTTCTGTGTAGCATGCCATAGGTGTCAGATGCAATGATGGCATATGAAAAGCACACAGTGTAGCTCCGAGGAGACTCAAAATCATGTGAAGGACAGTGTAGACTTAAGAATAAATTTAATCATTATGTATTCAAATCAAATTGGGTCTTGAATACACCACCTCAGTGAGACATAATATTGAGGAAGTAGTCCATGTAGGTACTGTGTGCTTACAGAAGAATAAATTGCAGCTACAGTTTCTTACAAAGAAATTATTTTTCCTTGCCCATACAAAAGTGGAATAGAAGATTTTGAGATGGAGGTGCCAGGTCTGCTTTGCACCTGCTCTTTGTAATATTTTCAGAAAGGAATACCATTCACCTGTATGGACTGAATAGTTTATTTCAGGATAAATAAAAAACTGTCAGTATGCCAGAGATGTATGTAACTTAAGGAGTTCATAATGTCATTAGTAAATATTTACAGAAAAAGACCAGTGAGAAGATTCTGAACTACTTATGTAACAAGTTTCAGAATTTTGCTATTGTCTTTTATGAGATCAAAAGACAACAGCTATATATACATCTACATTTAGGTGGGTTCACAAACAATTTGTGAGTATGTGTATTTTCACCACCAGCAGATTCAGTGTTATAGTTCATTTAAAATGTATACTATAAAAAACTTAACTATAAGTAAGTTTAAGAAAGATGACTTGATGCAAGTGCAGGACATCACTGACTATTTCTACATTCTCTTTTTCACTGAAGTTAACAAGGAAGAAAAGATTGGACATTAATCTAAATTGCTTCCCGTTTCTAGGCCCAAAGCAGGAATTTTGGAAATCATCCGCTGCTTGGTCTTCATAGGTGTGTACAAACTTGGCTATTTAAGGAGTCAGTTTTCTTCCTTGGGCTATGCATATGAGGTAAGACATTTATTTTGAAATGTCAGTGGTAACAACCCTTGATTTTTTATCTTTTTAGAAAAAACAGTAACACTAAAAATTTATAGTTTACTTCCTTATTTTTTATTCCACTGTTTTAGTAGAATACTGATTTTTCCCCCCCTTATCTCATTAGTTCTTACTTTTTATTATTAACCTGTAAAAAATTATTAAGATTTCTTCCCGAGATGGCAATTCACATTGAAAGAAAGTCAGGAAAGTGTCTAGTTACCAGTTCTTGCAAAAAATAATAGATTGGTGGCCATATGTTTTGAAGAGAATAACAGAAATGTGTTGCTTAACTTGAATTGATTAACTCACCTTTCACGGGGCAAATCTGAAAATACTTGGAGGCTGGAAGAGTTTTAATATCAGATATTTTGTTCTGTACCTATAATGTACCTCAAAGATAGACTTTTAACCATTGACAAAGATAAAATACTGGACTGCATAGGCCTTTGGTCTAATTAAGTATGGTCACTTAAGAATACTTATGTGTTTTTCTCCTCTTTGTTACTTTTTGATCTACCTATTTCTTTTTTTTGTACAGTTGATATTTTTTAATAACTCTTGTAATAGGATCTGAGTTAAATAACACTGTATCATTAATATAATTCAGAGCTGAATAACACTCCTAAACTAGTCAGTTGTCAGCAAGCTTGTGAATGGCTTGCTAAATTAGTAGAAATGTTACCAGAAAGTTAACGCGTGTTAACTTTTGTTAAGGAACAAGAAAAAATGAAATAAAACAGGAGGGATCGAGACTCAGAGCTTTTATTGGTGGAGTTCAAAATGGTTCCTTTGACTTGGAACATCTGCAAAATTTATAGCAACTTTCCTAATTCAAGGTTTTTGTGGTGGTGCTGATTCTCTTGCTTTTCCAAGACATCAAGAATGGAAAAATACCTTATGCTACTGTAAATCTTTTTGATCTTTAAACAATAATTATTGGACAATATTTAAAGCTAGAAAAATGCCACTAATCAAGAATTGTTTTGATTTTTTCCCCATATTATTATATTGTCAATACTTTGGTGTATAAAACAGACGGTTCTTGAATTCATTTGATAAAAGTCTGCCAGATATTCAACAGATATTTTAAGAATTTTACTTGCTTAAATATAATTTGGAAAATGTTTTTATTATTTACTGAGTAGACGACTACAATGGATAGGCTTAAAGCAAAGAATTCAAAAATTTGCAAATTAATTCTATAACCCTTGATATACAGCTCTCAGTCTTGAGATATTTTGGTATTCTAACTGAATTTGAGGAGCATTATATGTCAGAATATATACTTTAAAGTAAAAAAAAAAAAAAATCATGTACTTACCTTGCTGAGAGGTGTGTGTGCATGTGTAAAAGTGTCTCCTACTAAGAAGCAAGAAATAAAATTATCCAAATTATTAGTGATTTCTGTTGTTTGTAGTAAACTATATGGCTTCCTATTCGGTCATGAAGAAAAACATTAAATGAGGTGCTTCTAATTCTATCCTTTACATGTATCTGTCATTAAAATAGGTCATTCTTTGCCATCTCTAATTCTTTCCTGCTGTACTTTCCTATCCTTTGTCTGTCTGATGTTTTTGTTTGTCCTTTTTATTATAGTTCTCTGTTACTCTGAACTGTTTCTCCTTCAAATACAGTTAAAGATTTTGTCAGGTGTAAATGAAACCATTGATTTAATCTTTCTGTTTGCATCGTACATATTCCAACTTTAATATGCATCTAGATTTATCTGATCTTTTTGATACTATATTTTCAGTACTCATAATCTGTACTATACTTAAATAATGTACTCCTTACATCTTCATCATTTTATGTCACCAAATAAACACTTCTTTATTAATCCAGTATTCATGAGCAATAGGAACGAATGCATGGCAACATATAGATCATGTAGTCAACTTCTGTTGACTTGTTTTTTTTTTGGCTTTATAAATTAAGCTTTCCAGAGCACTTACTTAGGGATGAAGAAAGATAAACTGCAGGAGGCATGATGGCACTACTCGGTGTGTCTAGAATTTAACAAATAATTCTGTCCCAGCATTCTTAAGTTAATGCAGCATTGCAGCAGATATGTGCGACTGATTTTGCCATGCATCATGTTAAATAATCAGTGAAACAGTATGTGATTCCTGTCTATACATGTTGGTTTTTTCTGTGACTATGTTTCATATGTATGTATTTATCATTAATATTTTAGAATCAGTAGATAAGATTTCAGAAGTAAATGTTCTTGCAGTACTATCTACAGGGTACCCCAACTAGTAAAAATAGGTTATAGACTGCAAAATAATGCATTTGGCTCAGAAAAATGTCTGGCAACTACTGCATGGGAGAAAGGCCTTCTTGGTGAAAAGTAGGAGGAAAATTCAGAAGAAATGGAGAAAACTAGGGAAGCAGTGAGAAAGAAGAGCAGAGGAAACAAGGACTGAGCCTTTCCCATTTTGCCAGTAAATTAGCTCAGGTGAGCATGAAAAAAGCAGCTAAGGTTTGCAATTCCAGCAGGAGGAGCAGTCCTGCTCTCTGGCTCCAGACTTTTACTCCGCCCATCTAACTTTGTAGGTCTTAGGCAGCCAAAGATTTTTCTTCAGGTAAGTGAGTGGATGCAACTTGCTGTGAAGTAAGAAAGCATGCATTTTCTGTTTGCTATGCTGTATGTATTTCAGTATGGATAGTTTGGTAAAAAAGTAAGCTCTGCTTTCTTTAGAAGGGGGGGGGAAAAAAAAGGGATGTTTGAGGAAATTTTTAGATCTTACGAGAATTGTTTCCTGAGTGGAGGTCACTGAAAACCTTGATGATAAGGGCAGAGATATTATATTTGACTGGTTGTAGACAGTAAGCTGAGGAGCTAATGTGTTTCTGCTTGAGGATCTGTGTTGCCACATCCTATATTACTTAGTTTTCTTTAGGCTGATGACTTCAGACTTGTGTAATGTGATGATCATGTGTCTTATTAAAGCCAAATCGTTTTCTGTCAGGCTGGGCCTGGAGTCTCCTAACCACCTGGAGGTAGCAGAAAACATTGCTTGTGTGTTCAGTTATGTGACAGTTCGGCAGGCACGATATGTAAAAATAAATCTGTGATGATGGTGCACCTCTTCAAAGTGTTTCCATCCAACTGCTCTGGTTTGGCATCAGCCAGCATATTCCATGAGCTGATTTTGGTCAAGGACTGGCTGTTATTTGACAGTAGTACTAATGAGGAGTAAGTAGAAATGAGAGCCACTGACACGTCGTTGGAACTCTTGTCTTAAATATTTTCACCAACTCTCATAGTGGCTGCAATACAGTACTGAGAAAGACTCTTAAACTAAAGGGCCAGGAGTGAGGAAGGTGGAGGAGGAAGTACAGACATCTGGTCTTGATGTGCTTGTTTATCTTTTACCTTTGTTTCATCTAAGGCACTGTATTTCAGAGTAAATCTCTTCACCCAGACTCCTCCTGCACTGTAACTTCCTGGGCTGCCTGGCTATGAAAGCATAGGCAGGTGTATTAATTTACAGGTAGGAAGGATAAAACTCTAGGACAACTTTCATTGGGAAAAAGAGAGGTTATATATATGTGTGATATTTAAAATGAATAATGTATTTTCTTACATGTTTTATGTGGGCATATTGTGCATTAGACATATAACAACTTTGGAAGATACATAAAATCTTCTTCAGGGTGTAATTCAGCCCTTAATTAGTGAAGGTAGAAATGAACTTCATTGTGGTCAATTTTTTTATTTATTCCTCCAGAGTATCTAAACTTGGTAGATGCAGCTGTTCCAAAAACTTTTGGAGACAGTATTCTGTACCAAATGAACTGCTTCTCTGATCTTTGATGTAATTCTGGTGTTTCTTACAAGTCTGTCAGCTAATTTGTCTGGATAAAATATATAATATCTCTTTAATAAAGAACTGATTTGCACTGTATTCTGTGTTCCACAGCAGTCCCTCTTAATGTGATATATTACCATGCTACTTATTTCTCCTTTCATCGTACAAAGTCTTGCTGTTACCTCACTTGTTTCTTAGTGTAATTTACTAGCACTGGAATTCTGACTTATGAGTACTGACTTAAAACAAACATTTACTCATAAGAACTTATTTCCACATCAGTGATAGTTTTCTGCTCTGTAGCATTTTTCCTTGGTCCCTCGTTATGATCTTCTGTGCCACATTTCAAAGAGCAGCATATCTCATATTTGGTTTCCATTAAGGTGAAAGCTCCGTGCCCTGTGCTATGATTTATGACCTCAGCATTTATGCATTCTTTGTGCCCTAACTAGTTTGGCTGATATATTTGAAATGTATTTTAGAATTGGAGCTGGGGATGGAAGGAAACTACAGTCTTATGATAAAAATCCTTTTCAACACACATGGAATTAAACAAACACAAGTTGTAATCTGTATTTTCTGTTAGCTTCATTCAGAAAAGTTTGCTGTACAAACTTTTATATCCCAAACAGTGTATCCCAGGGACTGGACTTTTAATATTCTTGACAACTGCCCTAAGGGGAATAATGTCCCTTAGAAAAAGTCACAGTAAAATCTAGCAGTAGATTAAGTTAGTTTCCACTTAGGTGTGACAGCAGAGTCATTACTGATTTTAGATTGAGCCAGTTTGAGAGTCAGCTTCACCACCATCAACTAAAGACTATGATGTATAGTTCCAGATGCTCTGGCCAATTGACCGTAAAATTGCTCTGCATTTCTGGCAGAGCAGCCAAGCTGGAACTTTTAAAATCTCCACCCCCTGAGCTCAACACCCTCCCCCCTCTGCTTAAAAGCTGCTCATTATTCTTCTTCTGCCCGCTGATCTTAGCAAAAGAAAAACTTCTGGAATCAATTAGTAGTGTCTGCACTTGATGAGATTTGCACGTGAGTTTGGAATTGCGAGGCTTTGATAGTGTCAGCCAACAGCTGCAGTTTCAGGTGGTAAAATGGGGGAAGGAATTTTCCAGGGTTTATTTACAATCATAAAATAAAACA